CTTTGTGAGCAAAGGTAATGACGCAATTATCTATTATGTTATGAATTTTCATAAAATTATACAATAAATATTAAAACAAGAAATTTGTGAACCATTGACACAAAAATATCTCTCCTTAGTATCCTAGGAAAGCTTATAAATTATGCTGGAAAGTATATACTCTCTGAAAATGCAAATTTTCCTTTTACTTTACTTTCTTAATAAAAAGTCAATAAAAACTTAAATCACAATAAATAATTTTAACCACACATCATGACGTTTTATCAGCTTTCCAATTTTCAACAATACATTTCATCATCTTTTGTCAAAATTTACTAAAATCTGATATTTAAAAAAATAAAGTTTAACAAAACAACATTTGAATGTGTATTTGATGCATCGAATTAGACGCAATAAGATTTAAAAGCATGTTCGTGTACCTTAAAAGTTGATGAGAATTTAAGTTGAAATCAAAATTTAATTTTAACAACATAGTTTATAGGATTCACAATTTTTATTAACTTTTCAACTCTACACATTTTATTAACTTTTATTAAAATGTATAAAAATATGATTTTTAACAAAATGGATTAATTTAATGCAGATTATAAGGGATTTTCTCTCGTTACTCTCGTAGGCAGAAAAAACCAATGAAAATTTTCGCAATCAAAGTAGCCGTAGAGCAACCAATGCCCGCTGAAAACGGAGCTCCTCTTACACGTCTCAGTGCACATGGAGATGGAAAGAGAGAAAATATTTCTACCTTGTGTGAATCTGATTGTCCATTTCGGATAAGAGAGGATTTGGTAGAAATCTTCTTTTTATCTGTTAATTGAGAAGGGGATTTTGCAATTTTTTCTTTTGAACTGCGAGGAATTAATTAATGTGTTGATCCATCATATTTCGTTGCTTGGGATTTGCAATTGTTGTTATTTATCTGGGTCTGGGAAGTGCAACGAAATATGGTGTGGCCTCCACATATCAATCATGGAATGTCTTCAAGGTTGATTGCGGTTGCAATTGACAGGGATAAAGGAAGCCAAATTTCTCTGAAATGGACTGTTGAAAATCTTGTTGCCAAAGGTCAGACCCTAATTATGATCCATGTTAAAGCAAAACAGAGTTCACCATTTTTTGCTACGTCCGCATCTCTTCCTTTGCCAAGTACATTTCTCTCTCTCTCTCTCTCTGGGTAGTGTACATATTTGTGCAGTTGCTTGCCTGCAAATTGTAGTGCTGGTTTTTTGGCTCGGGCGGGACGGCAGGGCGGACGTGGGGGTGGTGGTGTTTTGAGTAATTTTTTGTTTCCGTGCACGTTTGAATAGGTTTCATTTTTCGTAAGTAAAAGAATCTACTTATTTTGGTAGTATGTTAAAAAGTTAGTTTCAAAACAGCTTGATTAGTATATAATCAATTTGCAAAACTTGAGATTGGCATGAGAATGATTTGGTAAGAGATTGAGACCATGTCCTCCACATTGCTTTTACATTTCTAGTAGCATTCAGTTGAATATGCTTGAGAATTGAGACGTTTTCCTAAAAGAAAGAGTTCTGAAGTTATCATACTTAAGATTTAGATACAAAATATATGTTGCATTAATTAAAATTATCATATTTGTTGAGACGTTCCACCAGTTAAAAGTGCTTGGTTTCTTTAAGTGTGTGTAAACAGTTACCAGTTAAAATGCACTAAGCCAAATTCGATTAGTCCTTCTTTGATTTCTCATGTCTCTACTGACATTCAGGGTATTTTAATTGTTAACAATGCAAGTTGCTTATAACATTTTCTGGTGCAGGGCCTAACCAGATTTCTGATATGGATGATAATGGGTCGACTAATGGGGAATCTGCTGCACAAACAAAGGCATTGTTCCTTCCTTTCCATGTATACTGTGCAAGGAAAGATGTGAGTATTCAAGATTCAGACATATTTGCTTTTATTATACTTAATAGTAGAAAATTACTATTTCTTTTTAAACTCTTAGACGCTGTGCTAGTTAGAACAGGCAAAGGCTTTGAGTTCAGGTAGGCCGCTGCCTCTGTGAAAACTATGCACCTGTAAGGCCTTTGTTAAAGTCGGAATTCAAAATAAATAAATGTGTCCTCAACAGTGAGGATACTGGATATCCTCTAATTGATCTGGAAAGAACATAAAAAGGGAAAATCCTTTACCAGACGAGCATTTCTTTAGTTTCTTATTCATGCTTTACATTCTAATGCTCATTTGTCAGATATCATGCTATGATGTTCTTCTAGAAGACACAGATGTAACCAAAGCAATAACTGAATTTGTAAAGCAATCAGGAATTGATGTATTGGTTCTTGGTGCAACAGCGAAAGGCAATATTTTCAGGTACATGTCTTATTTCAAGTTCCTGTGTCTTCAGTAGTAACACTAATTTTTCTCCTCAATGGTTCTTTCATTACTTCAATTGCTATTTGATTAATAAATCAGATCTTCATGTTTGGCTAAGCTTAAAAAATAGTTAGATACTTTTATGTACCTTTGTCTCCAAATATATTTGGATAACTCAGCACAAATTAAAGAATTATTTATTTTACAACTTACTGGTTTTGAAATTTGACAATTAATCCACTGCAATCATGAATCAAGGATCTAATGCTATATGAATAGAACATCTATGTAAAAATGCTGCTAAGTTGAGAATTTTAAAATCATTTTGGTCTCATC